ACCTAACTATATATGAAATTTTAATATGTCCTAAACCTCAAAAATTCCTGACCTCAAACACTATTGGATATTAACTGCCCCCCACACACACACACAAACACACAGACAACACTGAATCCCAGTTCACATATCTGAGGTTTACCAGAGTCACTTGCAGGATATATGCACTGTAAAAATGTTACAAGGGTTTAGACTTTTCACTTCTGCCTCCAAATATCCAATGGGTGGCTAAAGGCAGGACTGAGACATGTCATCTCTGCTTCCATTTTACATCTAACTCTTTGGCTCCAAGTCACCTTGGATTCCAAACAACATTTGACCAGATAAACATCTTGTGTTGACTCCAGAGTACTTCACAGCAAGAGCCACTTTCTTTATTCAGGAGGAGGCTCCACCTGGCTAATCCTGAGATAATGATGCACTACATTGAGGTGGGAATTTAAAAATAAAGGGAAATATACTGAGTCTCAAAGGAAGTGCCCATGAACTGTTGTGAAACAGACTGGTCCAGCAGCAGCAAGTAGCACTCTTGGAGGACAACTCCAAACTTTATTTTTCACAAGCAGGAACAGAAGAGAATAAACTACAAATACTGAGTACTGATCCTCAGTTTCTCACAACATTTAGAGGCTACTTCGTGCCATAGAATTTCTACTCTACAGTCTGGTGTTGTGGCTGAGTGGTAAGGCACTTGCCTAGCTGGACTAGATCCCACAAGACTGTTGGCGTTTCAAAACAGAGTACTCAGACTCAGATATTTTCAATACAAAATGTAGGGACTTAGGGTTAATTAGGTTTGCTGAAGAAATGATGTAGCAAGGGAAGGGAACTTACTCTTGCCCCAGGCATTCGTTTCTCAGGATAACATTTCTACAATTTCATTTTACAACTGGATCTGGTTTTGCTACCTCAGAACTACTGAAATGCAAAAAGCACCCATGAAACAAATTGCAAGGCCCCACTGATATGTGCTTGATTCATGCCCTTCAGCCTTGTAACCTGAGGTCAATACTCAAGCACAAGGAAAACGTGGTATTTTCTTGCTCTGACATGACTCCACCTCTAGCCCAGCAGCTAGGAACTGTTCCTCTATGAATATTAACATCAACATTCTAGGGGTTAGTCCCGTGCTCCAGAAATAGCCAGGCTTCTCCCTTGAATGTATCTGCCTTGCTTTACCCCAGAGGAGACTCCATTTAGAGAGGGCTCCTATTCTTTCTTGAATATGCATTTACCTCCTAAATAAATCACATTGTATGCCTTTGGCATGTGCTGAAATTCTTTTCAGTCATGTGTGCCAAGAACACCCCTGAGACAATTTTGTCCTTCTGTCTGGAAGCTCCTCAGAGCCTTCTCAAAACATCTCTTTCCCTGTCACAAGACATCACTTAGAGAGAATCACCTGCTTTGGCAGCAAGAAAAGCCTTCTCCTATGCAAATCCCCAACTCTTGCTCTCATTACCCTTTTTAAAATTGTGTGTGTGTGTGTGTGTGTGTGTGTGTGTGTGTTTTCCCCTGCTGGGGATTGAACTCAAAGTCTTGCACATGTGCTACTTGAGTTACACCTACAACAACTGGAGCTATAACTCCAGCCCCACTCCCCCTTATTATAAAACCTCAAAGTCATTGTCAGCCAGTTTGGGGGTAGGGGGTTACCAGGCATTGAATTCAGAGTTAGGAACACTATGCAGCTATTTCCTCACTTACATTCTACAGTTGCAACATGTAATGTAGAGTGGGTACTTTACCACTGAGTCACATCCACAAACCAACTTTGTAGTTTATTTAGAGACAGGGTCTCACTGAGTTGCTTAGTGCCTCACAGTTGCCGAGGTTGTCTTGAAATCCCCATCCTCCTGTCTCAGCCTGCTGGGATTATAGGCACCCACCACTGGGCCTAGTCATTGTCAGCCTCTTGAAGAGAGAGATAAAGAAGCAGGTACTCTTCTCTTCCCAATGTAGTTCTATTGCCTATGTTACTTGTTTACCTTATTTTTTTGCGGGGGGTGGGGAGTGACTGGCTTGACCTGGTTTATTGAATCCTCAGAGCCAGGCCTCTGTTTGAGGACCTCAATACCAAGACATATAAAAATTAGTTTTTCCTACTGAAAATGAGCGAAGCAATTATCTACCCCTCCTTTTTGGACTTTCACCTTAGAAACGTTGAAATTTAATCTATTTTCTCCTGTGCTTAAGATGTATATAAATTCTTTTGAAAACTGAATAGAAATGTTGTCAGCTTTATGACCCAGAAATGTCTTCAAGGACCAAAAAGCCATCTCTTGAAACATCCCAGTAACTGAGGCAGGGTAGGCACCTGACACTTTAGGCATCGGGCTGAAATTTGCAATCTCTTAATACATTGCCTGTGTTACCCACAAGATTCTAGTTTAAAGCTTTATTCAATTACAATATTTTCTTCTTTCTCTCCTACATTGGTGGGGAAGATTTTTTTTAAGAGAGGAGAGAGAGAGAGAGAGAGAGAGAGAGAATTTTAATATTTATTTTTTAGTTTTCGGTGGACCCGACATCTTGTTTGTATGTGGTGCTGGGATCGAACTCAGGCCACATGCATGCCATGCGAGAGCAATACCCCTTGAGCCACATCTCCAGCCCAGTGGGGAAGATTTCTGAGGTGGGAAGCAATTTTGTTCTTAATTATATTTTCCCATGCCACCTGTTGGCAAAAAAAGAGCATGCACTCAATAGTTTACAACTAGTTGGAGGAAAATGTTCTCAGCTCCCAAGACAAGTGGCCTGCTCAGGCAGCTTTCATCCCTCACCCTAACTTGCTGCACTATCAATTTCCAACCTAAGGAAGCCAACCCTGTCCCACAGGTCATCCAAAAGATGCAAGGAATGCAAAAACAGAACAATCAGCCCCAGCTGGATGACTTCATTTTCACTGTTCACCTTGACTTGGGGACTCCCTACATGTGCTTAGTCTGTGGAATGGTCTCCAGGCTTTTTGATTTAAAAATATCTACTGTTTTTGAAGATCGCGATTTTTAAGCCAGCCTCAGCAATGGTGAGGCGCTTAGCCACTCAGTGTGGACAGCAGTGACAGTGTCTGAGATTGGGGTCCCTGATGACTTCATGGCTACTTGGTGACTGGGAAAGTTTCTGTGCATAGGCATAGTGTGGGAAGTCTTTCTCACACGTGATTGGATCCCTCCCTGACTGGGTGTGAGGCACTCAGGCCAGCTGTGTCTGAGCTTATCCCCACCCTTTTCAGGTGTGAGAGCCTGTCCATGTGGGGGGGTGACTGACCATTGATGCTGAAACCAGTCACTGACCCTGACCTTGGAATGCTGTCCCCCTCGACCTTCATTGCATGGAATTTTCCCCTGAATTTTTTGCTCCCCAATAAAAGCCAACTCTCTGGCTTGCTCCCCCCTCTCTCCTGATGGTCTCTTGTGTAAACCTTGCTACCAAGTCAGGTGGCTCAAGGCAGGAGCCGGGAAGGGCCCTCTCTTAGCTGGGCCAAAAAAAAAAAAAAAAAAAACGTAAATTGAGTTTATATGTCTTTATTTTGATCTCACTAGTTAACTTCTATGTTTGGAAGCTCTAGTAAGAAGGTAGTGTGCTGGTTGAGCAGCCCCATAGGATTCCTGGTTGCTATGGAGATGTCCTCCATGCTAGAGTCTTATCAGCTTGGAACTTATTCTCAGGCAGGGCAGCTCCTGGGAATGAAGGAACTTCTTTGCTAAGACAGCCACACTATTTCACCAGTTCTGCTGCTCCTCAATCTGCCCCGAATTAGTAAATTTAAACAATGCATTTTCTTGAGTGCTGCACAATGCTCCTCACATTGCAGGTTGCAACTGTACAATGTAACTGAGGAAATAGCTGCATACTGTTGCTAACTCTGTAACTTTCATGAATACAAAGAATAATGCTTGCACAATCTTTAATCTGATTTAGAGACATATATAATAAAGACTGCTGGAGTGATTCCTTAGATCTGCTTCTCCATCAGAGAGCAACTCCCCACTAGACCCCAGCGGTTTTAGCTTCAAGATCTGCCTGTGTGACTCTTTTTTTTAAATTTTTTTTTAATATTTATTTTTTAGTTTTCAGCGGACACATCATCTTTGTTTGTATGTGGTGCTGAGGATCGAACCCGGGCCGCACTCATGCCAGGCCAGTGCACTACCACTTGAGGCACATCCCCAGCCCCTTGTGTGACTCTTATCTCTTCCAATCTCCCATGGCCCCTCCTTGGAACCTGCTACTTTGGCCAAGCTGATCTTGGCAACTCAGTGAAACCCTGTCTCCAAATAAAATACACATGGGGCTGGGGATATGGGCCAGTGGTTGAGTGTCCCTGCATTCAATCCCGAGTACAAAAATAAATAAATTAATAAATAAATAGAAAAAAACATCAAAGCATCTACTGTTTTAAAGTACAGCTTGCTGTCACCGTTGCTGTGAAGCAGCTGTTGATGATGTAAGTTATCACTGGCCTTAGCCCTGCTCGCCCCACGACATGGATGTGTTCCCTAGGAGAGCCTCTGGAGTTAGCACAGGTGCAGGATCACCTTCAAAGTGAACTGAGAATAGAAATGGAAATGAAGTTAATGCAGGACTTGAGGGACACAGCGAAAAATGGCACCATCTACAGAGTCGGTTTTGCATTTCAACTGGTACTTCCTACATATTTCCTGCCTGTCACTCACAAAAGGGGCTCCAGGTTCCAAGTAAGAATCTCCGCAGCCACGCCCCTGCGCGCCCCGCCCCTCCCGCCTTCTCCCGGGGCCGCGCCCCCTGTCGCTCTGGCCCCGCCCGGCCGCCACGGCCCCGCCCACCGCCCCTGTTTCGCTGCCAGGCTTCTCCAGGAGCGCTCTGCTCCTCCTCCCAGACCCGGAAGCTGATCACGGAGCAGCGGTCACAGTGAGGCACGTGAGTTCCCTGTTCAGTGGCTGCCCCTCCTCCAGAGAGATAAGAGTCACACAGGCCTGCAGCTGTGGCGCCAGGCAGGGAACCCGCCAGGTGTGGGGCTTGGCCTCCTGACCGCCCTGCAGCCGCCCCCAGCGCGCGGGCCTCCATATCCACACCAGCCCTGCCATCACCTGCCCTGCCCTCCTCAGTCCTGCCTTCACCTGTCCTGTCCTCACCCAGCCATGTCTCCTGGCCTGACCCTACCCTCGGACAGCCCTGTCCTCCTCACCTGCCCTGTTCCTCACCCAGCTCTGCTCCCCTACTGGCCCAGCTTTTGCCAGGCCTTGTCCTGCTACCTGGCCCTACCCTCACTTGACCCTGTCTACCTTGGCGCTATCCTCCTCACCTGCCCTGTTCCTCACCCATACCTGTTGCCAGCTGGACTTGCTTTTGCCAGGCCTTGTCCTGCTACCTGGCCCTACCCTCACTTGACCCTGTCTACCTTGGCGCTATCCTCCTCACCTGCCCTGTTCCTCACCCATACCTGTTGCCAGCTGGACTTGCTTTTGCCAGGCCTTGTCCTGCTACCTGGCCCTACCTTCACCCGACCCTGTCTACCTTGACGCTGTCCTCCTCACCTGCTATGTCCTCCTTGGCCAGGTGTCCACCCTGCAGGTCTTCCCTCCACTAGTCTCCCTGTTGTCTGCAGGAGGTGACCTGGGCCTGTATGGTGACTTCCAGGGTGTCATCTGATGCCATCTCCAGGTAGCAATAGCCAGATCTCAATGTCATTACAGAACACTAATTGGGCAGGTGGCACAGATTCCACCCCAGGGAAAAATATGCTCCCCTGGAGGTGGGCATCCCAGACCATCCCCCTCCCTGTGATGTGTGGCACTAGGCTCTGGACAAAGAGCTGGACCACAAGTGAGAGAAAGGACACAACAGAGAGAGACCTTACACAGATGGCAAGGGATTGCAGAGGGAGGGCACAAGAGTGAAAGAAGAAGCCATAAAGCAGCAGAGAGAAGCAGATGGAGAAATCTAGAATCGCAAACTCCAGAGAGGCGAAGGACAGCCACACAGGGATATGGACAGAACAGGGGAGAGACCTCAAGCTATCTAGAGAGATGAAGGTCATAGAAAGAGACAGAATCCGGGAGGGACCACAGGCAGAGTGTGGGAGCAGATGACAGATTATCTGCAGGCATGGCAGAAGGCAGCTGTGGTGCTGGGATAAGGAGAGGGGTAACAGGTGACAAGGGGAGCCCAGAGGAGCACCTTAGAGAGGAGGCATCCAGAGCATGGGATTAGGGGCCTGTAGCAGGCAGGGCAGATGGAGAGTGTGGATGGGGAAGAAAGAGGCAGAAATCTGTGGAGATTGGGGACAAAGACTGGGGAGAAAGACTGACTGGAGGTGAAGGGAGTTGCAGGACTGGGGAAGTTCAGATGGAGGGAAGGAATAGAGGGAAGAAAGGGAGAAACCAGGAGAGGAGAGGGAAGCAAAGGGAGCAGGATGCCCTCCCGTGTGGGGGTGGTATGGAGCACAGTAGAGCTGAGGAAAGAAATTGCAAAACTACTGCCCATGAGGCTTGTGTATTTTAAAATTCTAGAGGTAACAGGATAGCTCCCTTATCCAGCCCGAAGGCAGGGACTGAACTCATTGTGTCCAGGGTCACCCTCCTTCCTTTTCCTGATTTGCGGTGTCATGTAGGGAGTGTAGGAGATAGAAAGGGCAATTAAAGTGTTTTTGCTTTTGTCGGGCTGAATGCAACAGTGACCACTCAGCAGAGAGTTCTTCACCTCTAGTCACGTAAATGTGTGGGGATTTCTCCCCACCAACACAGGGTGTCTGTGCCACCTGCCAAATCACTGTTCTGTAATGACATTCAGATCTGGCTGCTGCTACCTGGAGATGGCATCAGATGACACACAGCTTTCTCCTACAGCACTGCCCCACATGGTCTGCCAGTCACCTGGAGAAGTTGGGACCCCCTGCTCACCACCTGGAGGGAAACATGGTACTTTTGTTTGCATGCTTGTTACAAATACAGTGACACAGCTTACAGAGGTACAGGCAGATGAGAGAGCCATGCTAAAGGTTGACTGAACCCGAGAAGGGTGTTTTGGGAACCCTGAGATACCAGGGAGGAGTCTGGCAGACAGCTGGTCATTATTGAACAACCACATTGCATTTTAGTGAAGAGAGAGGTGGTATTGTTTGTGGAATGTCAGAGCAGTTGAAACAGGGTGGGTTTTTCCTGTATCAGACAGTAAAAGGAGGAGATCTTGTCTAAGCTGCCGGCCCATCTCAAGGCTGGTGTCTCACTGCTGCCTGAAGAGAGTGTGTCTTTGCCTCTGGCTAGTGCTGACCCTGAGATCAAGCATTCTCAGCCCCTCTCACAGTCTGAAAATGGTGTGGTGTCCTTCCTGTGTGTATCATCAGTTTTCCACATGCAGAATCATTGGGTCATTGTCCTCAGAACACTGGCATTGAGCATTTCCAATCACATGAAATAAAGCCTCTTTTGTTTTCCATTCTTCTGTCTCTAAAAGATAAAACACTTTGTTAACCACATTTTTTTCTCTGTAATGTGGTTTTTAGACTACATTTGCATGCTGAAAATTTGTTTATATACACTGTCTTCTAGTTCTGGAGTGACGTCTTCCAATCAAGTGTTCTCATCCACCCTAAGCTAATGGTTTAACTTTCACAGTCTTTTGTGACATCATCGTTTCAATCTTCCTTTTAAAATGTCTTGTCCTCATATCTCCTCATGTCAGTATCTTCACCTCTAGATATCATGTCATATCTCCTCATTGCCCAGTTGCTGACTCCCTCTTCTTTTTTCTTAGCTCTGCAGACATCTTCCTTATCTTAAAACTCTGCTTGCATTCATTGGGATTCCTCCAAGGATCACTGTGGCAACTCCTCTGCTGCCAGGCCCCACACTGTTCTCTGACTGGGGTGCTGCCCCACAGTGGAGCCTTGCACCTCTGCTCAGCTTGTCTCTAGTTCTCTGGGAGACTGCTCCCATGAACCCTAGAATCTTCTGGCCATTGTCTCCTAAACGTCATGCTGGGATGTTTAGCGGGCCTTTCCACTTTCATGTCCTCCCATGACCTGAGCTCCTCAGACGCCTCCCCGGCATAGTCCTCAACATCTCAGGAAGGTCAGCCTCTATTGGGGGACTTGGCTGGACACCTCCACATGAATCAACATTGTACAATGTATTATGACATTGGCAGGTGTTTTTTTTTTTTTTTGGGGGATTGAAAAAAATCACATGAGTTTTTCAGAGTAGAAAGGAATCTAGAGTACACACAGCTCTTGAGGCTCGGGAGACAAATGGGGAGAGACCTGGCTCCTGATTGCTTTGCTTCCCCAGGGCCTCTGTCCTCTTCTCCTGCTGTGTCCTCTGCTTGCTCACTTTCAGCCACATGGCCTCTTTCCTTTTCCTGGCCAGAGATTGCTCCAGCCTCAGGAACTTCACTGGGTCCTGTCCCTCTACCTAGCCCTCTACCTGGCCCCTGGGCTGCAGGTGGCCAACCCCTCAGGTCTTTGTTATGACATCACCTGCTCCATGGAGACTCCTGTGACCCCCAGCTACAGTCACACTCCAGCCACACCCTGCCCCCACTCTGGTCCCTGCAGCTTGCTGTGTCTGTCTCTTTCTGCTCCTTTACTGTCCACACCTGGATCCTGATGAGAACAAGGGTCCAAGAGATGGGCAGAGCCAGAAGGTGGGTGGTGAGCTCGACCTGCCCTTCTGGGAGGTGCTCCATGCTGGCTTCCCCGAAGTGTGAGGAGTCATTTTACATCCACTCAGGGGTGAGGCTGGTGCCCAGCCTTAATAATGTTTGAGGGTGATTCTCTTCTTTGTGCCAGCATTGAGTACCAGCTCTGCAGTGGTACTGGGGTCAGCCTGAGATCTGATGACAGCTGCTGGGTCAGAGGTGTGGTTCACTTTGGTCAGGACTAGGGGGTGCCCTGAAGGGGAGCCCAGTGCTGTCCAGGTCCCCGCTGGTGCAGGCTGTGGGCTTCACCAGCAGGGAAATGAGGCCCAGAGGAAGGAGTCAGAGAAGCCTCCTGTGCTGCTCCCTGCAAGAGCTGCTATGCCTGGGTCTTGCTGTGCAGTGGGCAGCCAGTAAACAGTCCGTTTCCTCCTTCCAGGATTGACTTGTGAAGACTCGTGTTACCTGAGGAAACAGCCCTGAAGAGGAGGAGGAAAGAAAAGGGGTCAGGAATGGCTGTCACTGAGGTACAGTGATGCTGTCAGGTGGTCCTGAGTCCCCTGTGCAGTGCTGGGCCTGGGAGCTGCTGGCCTCCTGTGACTCTGTGGCCTCCTGCCTGTCAGGTGTGCCTGCACTCCCTGGGGCCTCCCTTACCCCATCCTCTGTGCTTAGATTCCATCCCACAGTGACCTGTGGCAGAGAACCCATGAGGAGGTGCCACCAGGTATGGCCCTGGGAATCCTCTGTCATTTTATTTAATCTTTTAAAAAAGTAAGTGTGCTGTTTGGTGGTGTCCCTGCCCTCCACACCAGTTCTCTCGCTCTAGTGCTCATTGTTTCCTGCCTTGTGCTTCTGTTGCCTTCAGTTGGCTCTTTCCCCTGGAGGTGTATGGTTAGTTGACCTGGGTTCCTTCCTCCTTGTTGTAAAGTTTCACTACCCTAAGTTCTTTCTTTTGTTTTTATTTTTATTTTTTATTTTATTGCATTCTGTGAGATTTGGTATGTTTATTTTTGTTTTTACTTTTGTTTCAGATATTTTCTGAATCCTGTTCCTGTCGTTACCATTGATTGGTTAAGAATGAGGTGTTTCATTTTCCCTTATTTGGGGGTGTTAATTTTTCCTATGCAGTTGGCTTCTGTATTTATTCTGTTATTTACAGGAAAGAAAACTGGGGTCCTTCCAAGTATTTGAAACTGAATTTTAAGATTTGTGTCCCAATCTGTATCAAATGAAAAAATAAATAAAGCTGGGTGGTAGCTTAGTGGTTAAGCATCCTGGTGACAATCCCCCGTAACAATAACAACAAAAAAGTCTGGCAGTGTCACTCAGTGGTGAAGCACCCGAGTTCAGACCAGAGTACCCTAAGTAAGTTTTACGATTTTTAAAATGAGGTGCCTGCATTCGTCTACATCGGATTGGTTCTACCCTAGGCTGTGAATGTGCTGCCAGTAGTGGGGGCGCCTTCCTGTGCCTGCCCCTGTCTGTGCAACTGCAGGGACCTGCCGGGCAGATGCATGGTGTTGCCCTGCACTTGGTCCACGTCTCTCACGTAGGAAACCTGCTGTCAGTTTTCACTGCAGTCTCTGCCCCTAAGTCTCTGATGGCTCAGGTTCAGCTCTAATTCCAATCACCTGGGCTGGGTTTTGCTCTGTAATTTTATATTCCTTGACCCAAGGGAAATTTCCTAGGGCGTCTGTGACACTATGATGTGTGCAGAATGATGGGAATCCTTCTTCCTCTCCTGGGCCACTTTGTATAAGTTAGTGCATGTAAAGCATTTAGGAATAGGTGTGCACTCAGTAGTGTCACCACCCAGGTCACTGCTCTGTGGTGACATTTTGCTATTGAGATTTTGCTATTGTCCACCCAGGGTGGCCTTATCTTCTCAGGACACAGATTATGCTCTGGCTCACCCAGACCTGAGCATCACCTGGTGTGTGGAATATGGGGTCTCCACTCATAGACGCAGCCTGTGTTGTCTTCCATCTGCATGTTTCTTTTCCTCTCTTTCTTTCTTTTAACCAGGAATTGAGCCCAGGCCAGTCTACCATTGTAATACATCCCCAGTCTTGATTTGTTTTGTTTTGGTTTGGTTTGGTTTTGGTTGGTTTGTTTTTTTGACAGCGTTTTGCTAAGTTGCTGAGGCTCGTGTTGAATGCGAATCCTCCTGAATCAGACTCCTGAGTCTTGGATTACAGCTGTGTACACTGTGCCCAGCTACTATGTTTCTTGTGGTGTCTGTAAGGAAGACATGTATACAGATGTAGCGAGTATTTTATCTTAAGGAAAAGTGTAATAAAACACAACTAGAGAGATTTAACATGCTCAAAAATACCAGATCATGTGAGAATATAGGCAAAGCAAGTTCAGTTTCTCCTTGTATATACTCCGCACCCAGAAATCTTCTGTGATCCCAGATGAGAGGTTTTTGTCCACAACCAGGCGAGTAGTTCTTCAGAGGGCACCTTGTCATTTTATCTAATCCCGACACTGTGTATGTAGATACTCGATGGATCCAAGAGCTGAGGTCTCTGTCCCACAAGAGTGCCCGCTTTTCAGATGTCAGTCTTAGGCAAAAGTATGGCCCATGATTCAGAATGACCTTCTGTAAATGGGGCTTCCTTCATCCCCTCCTCACATTGAAAAAGTGGTTAGAGTGCTTTGTAAATCTGTGAAGGACTTGACTTGCATTTTCCTTGTGGTGACGCCTGTTCAGAAGAGGCAGGTGAACACGCAGGTGGAAGAGGTGCATAGGCCAAGGTGTGGGCAAAGGACGTGGAGCTCACATGACTTTGCGTGGTGGGCCATCCTCCAGGACCCTCCACCCACGCGTTGATCTGAACACCCTTTCACCCCGTCCTGTTGAGATTTTATGGAGGCTCCATTATGTAGGCAGGCTTGATTACATCCTGGGTGATGCTGATCAGTTGGGACTTCAGTTCCTCTCCCTTCCCTGGAGGTAGGTGTCAGGACTGTGTTACAACTGCCTCTCCTGCCTGAGGCTTTCTGGGTGAAGCCCCTTCATGAAGCTCTCTAGGGGGCTTTGGCACCTGACTTCTCACTAGCACAGAACTCTTTCTTAGCTCTCCAGGGATTCCACGTGAGCTCCACATCAGCAGACAGACAGATACCAAATGTGTGTTTACAGCCTCACAGTGCAGCTCTTCTCACTTGAATCAGTTGCATGCTTACACTTCTCCTCCCTTCTCATTTCTCTTTGTTTACTTCTTTGCAGTAATGGGGTTGAACCTAGGTCCCCTCTGCCATTACATCCCTACTCCTATGTTCTTCATTTTCAGAGAGGATCTTGCTGTGTTTCCCAGTCCCACCTTCGATTTATATTGTTCCCACCTCAGCCTGGGGATAGCTGGGATACAAGCATGTGCCACCATGTCTGGGCTCTGTGGTTCACATTTGGCATCAAGACTGTAACTGCCCCCAGTGCCCCATTGTGAAGCCTGTTTTAATTTCAGGGTCCGCTGACATTCAGGGATGTGGCCATAGAGTTCTCCCAGGAGGAGTGGAAGTGCCTGGTCCCTGCTCAGAGGGCTTTGTACAGGGACGTGATGCTGGAGACCTACAGGAACCTGGTCTCCCTGGGTGAGCTTGACTTCCCCACCCTGCACCTGCCCCATGCCAGGATCTTCAGTGCATACCTTTGTGTTTCCCCTTTGAGTTTGGGATCCTCTGAATTGACTGACTGACTGAAGCCCTGGTGCAGGTTAAAGAAAGCTTCATAGTGCAGCCTCTGCACTTTGTCCCCTTCCTTCAGATGTTCT